TACTGTTTAATATTTTTATGGCAATATTGTTTATTTTAATTTATTATTTAATCTAATAGAATATGAAATAATTTATCTCCATTTTGATGATAGAAAATGGGTGATTAACTGTTCTCTCAACAGTAGTTTGCAATTCAGAATTCCCTTTTTCATCCAATGAGTATACATATACCTCACCAACCTTGTGGTTGTACATTGATGATGAAAATCTTGCTAGTACTGTAAAAAAAATTGATGTGATATTGTAATATTATTATTATTATATTGATAACATTTAAAAAATGTTTACAATTTTCAACATGAGAAAAAAACAAACAAATGAAGAATAAAAATAGAAACACACACACAAACACACACATAAGCAAACAAAATTTATAATTTGTAAAAATGATTATTTTTTATAAGTAAATGAAATAATATAAACTTACTTGTCAAATGACGCAACTGCTTGATTCTTCGATTTCAAAGATTTTTAACGGCGAGCGAGCAAACAGTCAAAAACTAGCAGCAAGAAACAAGAATAATAAGAACTACAAGGAAAACAATGAAATAACAGCAATGAAAAAAGAAGTAGAGAAAATTTTTGGATAACTTGTACATATAACTTTAGATGTGACTTGAAACCAAAATGGCGATGACATTGTAAAAATGTCTTAAAGCTGTGTTTGTAATGAACTCAATGTGAAAACATAAAGCGTTAAACACATTTAAAGTTTGAAACTGTAGAAAAAATATGTTTATTAATAATAAGGAGCGGTCACAACTGTCCAGTCTTGCTGTCTGCCTGCAGGTTGTTGTATTAACCAACATGAATTATAGTTAAACAAAAATTGTAATTTAAATTTTATATCTCTATTACTTTTTAGCGTTTACTTTAAAAGTTTAGGGTGAAATCACAATGAGAACTAAAAAGTTAAACGAACAGCAGTTTTTCTTGAGCGCAAGTGAGATAGAAGGATAGATTATTCTTTATACTTTCATGAAAAACTTTAACAAGCTTAAGACTTTAAGAATCAATTGTGCGTTATCCTTAAACGTAAAAAACAAAATAATTAAAAAAAATTTTAAAAAACATAGACAATTTGTAAATAAGTATTACGGAATAGCGTTCTAAAATTCTCGGTAAAATTGAAACCGGACAAGGAGAGAAAGAAGATTGAGGTAAATTACCGTTGGCAAGAGAATTTTCGATAATTTATGAGAATATTCAAAAAAGTTATGGATAATTGACTTTTTTAAATTTAAATATATATATTTATAGTGTCTAGGTTAAAAATAGACAACAAACTTGTTATCATATTAATAATTTGAACAATGAATATAGTAGACTGTAATTTTCTCTGTTTTTGGCATATATGACTGCACTTTTATCCTTGTCTAACACATACGTAGTCATGGCAACATGTGTGTTAAACAAGGATAAAAGTGCAGGAATATTAATTTACATGATTTATTATAATAATGTAATATTATATTAATATTAATATAATAATATATATTATATATTGTAACAAAGATTTTTTTTAATTATAATTATAATGAAAATTATTATTAATAATAATTGTACAGTCGAAAACATAAATGTCTATACTTTTATCCATGTCCAACATACACGTTGTCAGGAAAACATATGTGTCAGACAAGGATAAAAATGCATGTATAAATTCTCATAAATTCTCAGAGAAAAAAAAATGTGGTAATTTTCCAGGTAAATTACCGCAATCTTCCTAATCTTATTTACGTAAAGTACTTTAGGTAGAACGCTAAATGTAATCATATTTTTTCATGACTATTGTGAATTTACCCATTTTTTTGTAAATTTCCGTTTTGTCCACAATGTAAAAGTTTTACTGTGCTCAAAGCTTTACGTCTGCATATAATGTGTTCATTACAAACGAACCCTTAACCCTCCTTAGTACAGGTAGTGAGGGATTCCCTCACCGGTTTCAGTATTTGCTATCTAACTTTTTTTTTACTTACTACAAGACACTGTCCGTCCCAATACCTTTCAACAAAATCCTCATGTACACTTTTGTAAAAAAAAATTTTGTTTTGACTTAATAAATTTTTAATTATAAATTTTTAAAGGAGACAAACCCACAAAAATGTGAGAGATTTCTTCAAAAGAATCGTAATTTACAATCAAATAAATGTAAGTAATTATAAATAAACAATCAGTTATGTCCTTTTAATAACTTTTTTACTTATTAGTTTATAAATATATATGATTTTAATAAAATTTTGTAAAACCTCACATAACCTCAAATTCACTGCTTCTATATTGGATCCAATTGGATCAAGGTTATCATTAATATAAATTGTATATTTGTTGAAATTACTTTAAAATACTTATTAAAAATACTTAAATTTTTAATTCAAATTTGAAAAAATGTATTACATGTTTGTTTTGTAATATAATCGATTATTATTTAAAGGTGAGGGATTCCCTCTACAGTTGTACTACGGTGTAATTATTTCTAGGTTGTACTAAGGAGGGTTAAGGCCTAAGCAGAATAGATTCTTGAACGGGAACGCAATCGTAAACGGAAACGTAAGAAGGAGTAAGAGAAGGATAGTAAATATCTTTATTCTTCTCATGTCGGTTCTACAATGGGCACGTTTGTACATGAACGTGAACGTGTACGTGCTGACGTCACAATGTTCTGCAAATGGGTGACGTCAGCACGGAACGTACACGTTTACGTACAAACGTGCCCATTGTAGAACCGACTTCACACTCATTCTTACGTTTCCGTTTACGATTGCGTTCTCGTTCAAGAATCAATTCTGCTTTGGCCTTTAACAAAATTCCACTTGATCTGCCATTTTGGTTTTTTCGCATCGCGTCAACTCCAAAGTTCTCTGAAAATTATTTCTCTTTCTTCTAAATTATTGTTAATCCATTGTTTTAGTTGTTATTTTTGTTATTGTTGATTTTGTTGTTGTTTGTTTTTATTATAACTGTTGTTTGTTATTGTTATTCTTGACTATTGCTCACGAGTCAACGTCAACGACAACAGCTCAGCAGCGGGCAGTAGTGTCGTCAACGACACATGTAAGATTTTCATTTCTCATTGTATATTATGATGAATATACTGAATATACAATATTTTTTTGTCTGTTTCATTTTTTTAAAATTTTTATTCTTTCTAACCTCAACTTTTAAAACTTGGAAAATGGTAAATTTTTGACCAAGTGGAATAAGTGATTCTCTTTATAATTGTCTTAATTTACTAGAATATTTTTTTAAATAGTTTCCAATTTTTATATATTTTCATTCTATTCAACTTTATTCTCCGTTGAAATCCGATTTTTCTGATTTTCGACCCTTCTGAATTTGAATTTGGCCAAAGATAAACTGGAATTTTTCTGAAAATTGATTTTTTTAAATTGAAATTCTATAACGATTTAATGTTTATTCAATTTCTGTTATTTCAAAAAATCTCCCCTCATTTTTAAATTTTCTACAATATTTTTTTGGAAAGATACCAATTTTTCTCAACTTCATTTACATTTAAATTACCATTTTCATGATTTTTTATTCTTATAAATTTCAAATTTGGCAAATATAAATTGGATTTTTTAAAAACCTATTTTCCAAGTTTATATTTTTCAAAGTTTAGTTTTCTGAATTTTAATTTTTTAAGAATTGAGATTTTATTCGATTTCCGGTATTTGATAAATTTGTCCGTATATTTTGTGATATTTCACCATTTTTGTTTATTCGTTTCTGAATTTTACTGAACTTTGATTTTTCTGTCCATTTTCTTTGGAATCACGTTTTTACTGAGTCTCTAATTTTATAAATAAAACTTTTGGCAAATCTGAATTGGGATTTCTCTAAAATTTGATTTATTCCAAGTTTTTATTTTTTAAAACATTGTTTCTTAAATTTTAATTGCTTGTAAATTGTAATTTTATTCAATTTCCGTTATTTCGGAAATAATCTTCTTTATTTTACCAAATTTTAACAATATTTTTTTGTCATAATTCCGACGTAATTATGGTTATATATAATATTATAATATTATATATAATATGTAGGGTCATTTGGGGTAATTTTAAACAATAGAGGTAAATGTAAACAGTAGATATTGCAGCTTAATTTACAGATTTACAATTAAGTTCGATCCCAATATTTTAACCTCAGGTAACCTGCAAGAGGTTTTCATTATATCCTATTTTTTATTTCGACAATTGGCATTAAGAAAATTCAAATTATCTATCAATGCAAAAAAAGTTGAAAATCAAAGTCAAACTGTTTTAGTATTTTCTCTCGCATTTCAAAGAAAACGGACTTAAAAATCATACAAAAATTTTTTCTTATTCCTTATGACTCCCTTAAAAGAAATTCACTTGAATTTTTGATTTTTATCAATTCAGTTAATAAATAATTAACTGTTTACATTTACCCCGCTAAATTTGACAACTCGGGGTAAATGTTAACAGCAGCTTTAGACCATATATATTTTATAATATATCGAGGCAAAAGTTGTTTCTTTTTCATCTAGGAGACTTTTTAAAAATTTTCCTTGTTGGACCAAATAAATAAAATGACGTATCATATAAATTTTTATCAAAGTTGCTCAAAACGCTTAATTTGTGTTACATTAAGATTAATCAATTATTATTTATCCAGGAAGGATTTTTTCAAGTTTTTCTATCCCATAATGCAGTAGAAAAGTTAATATAATTTTTCTCTTAAACATTTCTGAGAAATAAATGTTTTTACATTTACCCCGAGATTTTGTATTTTTTACAAAATCTCCGGCTAAATGTAAACAGAAGTTGTTAGCGATTCAAGGTTACCTGTATTTTTTATTACTTCATAAAATTGTTCTACGGACCTAAAGTAATAAGTTTATGCAATAGAAAACCGGAAGTATTGCTTTTTAAAATAAAAAAATTATGTTATTCTCGAAACTAAGCAAATCGGTTTACATTTACCCCAATTAACCCTATAAAATAATAATAAAATTAATTTAAAATTACAGAAAAAAATGGAAAATAAATACACTAGAATCAGACTGGACGATCTGAAAACATTTGAAGTTGTTGCTTTGAATTCCATAGAGAAATTCGATCCAGCCAAATTTGACCCGAACAATAACTCGAGACTGTTCTTCAAGTTAGTTGGAACTGAACAACGTGTCCAAGTCTTTGAAATTCTGGGTAAGTGTATTAATGAAATGCATTTAAGTATATAAAATAAAAGTAAAATATATAAAATGAGAAAATTAATCGACAGAATTGGAAAACAATTTGAGACATGATGAAAAACTTGCTGAAATGGACAAAACTGGAATGAAATTAGTGGAGGAAAAACATTTGGAGAAGAAAATCAGCAGAGAGAAGAAGGATGAAAAGCTTGCTGAATCAGACGAAACTGGAATGAAAATAGTGGAGGAAAAACATTTGGAGAAGAAAATCAGCAGCGAGAAGAAGGATGAAAAGCTTGCTGAATCAGACGAAACTGGAATGAAAATAGTGGAGGAAAAACATTTGGAGAAGAAAATCAGCAGCGAGAAGAAAGATGAAAAGCTTGCTGAATCAGACGAAATGAAAATTAAAGCGATAGAAGAATTTTTATTGAAGAACGGTGACAACTGCAAGAAAAATCATTCAGAAGCAGAAAATGAGAGAACAAATGCGGTAATTATGAAAAATGAAATGAAAAATTTTTTTTTCTCTTATTTTATTTTTAGAAAAATTAAAAAATAATAAAAATATTTATTAAATTTTAATTTTTACAGAAATCAGTCGGGAATAAGAAAATTGAAACTGTTTGTGAAGGAAAAATGGAAATTATTTTGAGCACTGTTAATCAATTTCAAAATCAAGTTATGGATATGAATGCAGAAAGGACTCAAGAAAATGACGAAGGTAAGGAGAATCTATAAGTGTAAACTCTCCCTTCTTTTTCCTAAATTTTGAATCAAGTACCTAAATTTATTAGAAAAAGTAATTTTAGTACTATACTAATTAAATTTTTCCTTTAAAGGCAGTTATTATGAAAAAATATATTTCAATTATATAAAATTTTTTTTCCCTCATGAACAATATAACTAATTGATAATTACAATTAAATAATAAACAAATTTAAAGAATTAACAAAAATATGTTGAAAATATTAATAATAAACAAAATAAAATTTTTAATTTTATACTTTATACAGAGAATGTATGGAAGGAATCTTTTTATGAACTGCAAAAAAAATCGTTATCATTTTGTAAAGAAGTGATAGCGATATGCAATTCTGAAACTGCAAATGAGGAGAGGGAAAAAGAGAAAAACCAATTCAGCTCAAAGGAGAAAGAAAAAACATTGAAAGCATCTGAATCAGCATCATCCTGCAATGATAATGAAAGTATGTTGAAAAAAGAATTACCAATTTTACAAATTACGTGAAGAAATAAATTTTTTGTCATATTTGAAATCTGAATTTTGAAATTAAATTGAATTTTTTTTTATACAGTTAAGAAAAGAAAAATGGTAGAAAAAGTAAAGAAAACTTCAGCAGAACCAGATGCAAAAAGGAAAAAGAATAGCAATAAAAATGAACAAAGTGTGAGTATTAAAAAAAAGAATGAAATAATAATTAAAAAAAGCAAAAAAAGGAAAAAAAATATATAGAATTAAATAATATTTTTTGAATTAAATTAAAAATTTAATTTTCGTAAGGTTGTAATGATTGTAATAAAAATTGTTAAAAAAATTAATAAAAATAAAGCATAAATAATGATAAATTTTTCTTTTACAGGATAACAAAGAAGTGGAATCAAAAGACAACGGAAACGTGGCAATGTACACTAGGGAAAATGATATGGTAAATATTAATTTTAATGTAATAAAATTTAAAAAAAATAATAAAATTGTAGAGTTAAAATCATAATTAACAGACATTCATGTAATGTAAAATTTATATTTTTATTTTTTCAGATACACATTGGCAGAGACTACAAAATAAATTACAAAAAATGGAAAGAAATTAAGAAATATAAGAAATATTCCCTCATGTCCGCAGCCATTGCGGAGCAAGTGTTGCCAGATTTACACTTGTACACGTTTGACCTGGAAAAAGCCAAAACTATTAATGAAGAGAAAAGAAAATTGTTTCCAAATTCTTTGCTGAAAGCAATAGAAGGTAAGATTTTTAAAAATTAAATATCAATGAAGATTTTGCGTTCAGTTCATGTAATCCAATTGAAAAAAATTATTATTAATATTCTTATAAGTCGGTGTAAAAAAAAGCACTTTTTTTAACCTCTTTTAGAACGCGGTGCAAAAAATTGCACTTTTTTGCAACTTGTTATAAAAAGTATCGTTCGTAACTAGTGTTAATATTTGCAGATTTTTGAAAAAATTTTTTTTTGGGACGAGAAGCTTCGCTTCGCCTACATCTCGTCCCAAAAAAAACACTTTTTCAAAAATCTGCAAATATTCACACTCGTTACGAAATATACTATTTTAATATGTTAAAAAATATTAATATTATAGTAGATATGTAAGGGGGCTTCTGGATAAAGCGTTGACTTTAGCTATATCCAGAAGCCCCCTTACATATCTTTGATTGCGCAATATTATTTAAGTTAGGAATGTTGAATGTTTTTCTTATTTTAGCATTTTGTCATTTAACACTTTCTGTGGAATTTTTCTTGCGATCAGAGTGCATCCGATTTAAAGAGGATAGATAAAACAGTGTTGAATATGCATAATATGAGTGCATTTATTATAAGAAATATGCAATGTAAAAGATAAAATGTTAGGTCAATTTGCAGTAAATGTATCATTTTTAATTGATTATAAGACAAATGTTTTGTCTTGTAATAATACATTATATATATACATATAATGTAATGTATATGCCGGTAGCGTATGTCATATGGAACTTGTTTTCAATTTATCGCGTGCCACATGTTTATTTTTTTCTTATCAGACTATGAGAAGCCTGTCGCATGGTTTGAAATTTGAAATGCCGCGTGGCGTTATGTGCGGTGTAAAATTTGAAGACGGTAATGGAATTTATTGATGCAAAGAAAGGTATGTGATATATATATATATTTTTAACAATAAATTTTTCCAGGCAACTATTTTTTTATTAGCAACGTGAAGGGCAGTATAAAAAGAAATTGTTTATTGTTCTTTGCAGTCATTTTTCATCGAAGCTCTGTATGAGATTGTATAATATATTACTATTTAAAAAGTGGTTGTTAATAGTTACAAGTGTCTCTTGTTTTATTTAAAAAATATGAATTCTAATTGCCAAAAAATGATTAAAATTATGGAAAGTGCTCTGGAGACTGTAAATACAATTCAAAATAATAACAAATTTTTAAATGAAATTGAAAAGTGGATAAAACTGGGTTCATAAAATATTCTTGTTTTAAATAAACTTTTAAGAGTAAAGAAGGATCTAACAGTAAGTGATAAAAATAAGATAATAGCCACTCTAGGAATTTTGAAAACATTAAATCAAAAATTAAAGCAAACAAAAAAAGAAGGTAAAGGTATTGAAATAAATAAAAATAAAAAATCTACCAGAATTAAATGGGAAGACTTAGAATCAGCGTTTGAAAAAAGAGTGAGAACGGGAGTTATTATTAATTTAAAACATAAAGATTTATTTGAATTTTTAGAGGATTCACGATCATTAATTAAATATCGTTTAAAAAATGCATTGAAGAAAAACAATGGCTTGAAAGTAAATTTTATATTTACAGCTAATTTTACAACCGCGAGCGATGGTGAAATTATTGAAAAAAAAAAATTTTTTAACACAAAAAATGAAATTATTCTTCATTCTTCAGACATTGAATTGTTCTTTGATAATACAATTGAATATATTTCACAAAAAGTTGAAGATTTTAATGCAAAAGAATCAGGGTGGTCTTTGAAAGAAATTATAAATTTAATAGTAAATATTAACAGATATGTACCTTTACAAGGTGGATTCAGTACTTTTACAGAATTACCAAAATTTATAAGAAATAAGAAAGCTGTTGTTAAAATTAAAAATAGAGATAATTTTTGCTTTCTTTGGTCAATAATATCAGCTTTATATCCTGTTGACAATAATTCAAACCTTACCAGTTCTTATCCTGATTTTAAAGGTTTATTAAAATACGAAGGCATTAATTTTCCTATTGCTTTGTCAGATATACCAAAATTTGAAAAAATGAATAGTTTAAGAATAAACATTTATGGATTGGATAGTATTAAAAGCAACAAACAAGAAATAGTTCCTTTATATATAAGTAAACAGTTTTCTGAAAAACCGACTATTCACTTATTGATGATTAATAAGTTAGATGCTGTTTTTGATAATAGTGATGAAAATGGGACAAATTTTTATCATTTTGCATGGATTCGTAACTTGTCACGGTTGGTTAAATCACAAATGACAAAAAGTAAATGTCAAATTTGGATTTGTGATAGATGCTTATGTCATTTTAAATATGAATATTCACTAGAAAAGCATAAAATTGATTGTATCAAATTAAACACATGTAGAGTAATTTTACCAAATGAAAACGACAACATTTTAAAATTTAAAAATTTTAGATTTAAAGAAAAAGTTCCATTTGTTGTGTATGCTGACACTGAAAGCATTTTAGAACCTATTAATGATAATAAAATAGTTTCAGGTGCATATAATAAACATGTTTCACATAGTGTTGCATTCTATTTAAAATGTGAGTTTGATGACACAATTTCAATATTTGAAAGTTACAGAGGAAAGGATTGCATTACCTGGTTTATGAATAAATTGAAAGATATCGCAAATTCTGTTGACTTTTATCTAAAAAAAATAGTTCCAATGGAACCTTTAACTTTTCAACAAGAATTAGAATTTCATACTTCGGAAAATTGTTACATTTGCGAAAAATCATTTGAAATTAATGATATTAGATGTCGAGATCACAATCATTTCACAGGAAAATACAGGGGTGCTGCCCATCAGGGATGTAATATAAATTACAAAAGTTCGCATGTAATTCCAGTAATTTTTCACAATTTATCAGGGTATACTGCTCATTTTTTTATAAAAGAATTATGTACGAGTTTCGAAGGATGTGTTAAGCTTTTACCTATAAATAAAGAAAAATATATATCTTTTACCAAATATGTAGATGGAAAAAATGTGTGCTTTAGATTTTTAGATTCTTTCAGATTTATGCCCAGTAGTTTGGATAAATTGGCAAATTTTCTTAAAAATGATGAAAAGAAAATCACAGAAAAATATTGTAACAATATTAATGAATTTAATTTATTAACAAGAAAAGGTGTTTTCCCATACGAATATATTAATAATTGGGAAAAATTACAGGAAAATCAATTACCACAAAAAGAATCATTTTATTCTAAATTAAATGATTCAAATATTTCAGAAGATGATTATCTACATGCTTGTAAAGTTTGGACCACCTTTAATTTAAAAAGTTTGGGTGATTATTCAGACTTGTATTTAAAAACAGATGTCTTACTTTTAGCTGACATATTTGAAAATTTTCGAAAAACTTGTTTATCTGCTTATAATTTAGACCCTTTACATTATTATACTGCACCTGGGCTTGCATTTGATGCAATGCTCAAATTAACAAAAATAGAATTAGAATTATTAACTGATATAGATATGGTGCTTTTTTTGGAAAAGGGCATCAGGGGTGGAGTTTCTCAATGTTCAAACAGATATGCAAAAGCAAATAACAGATTTATGGAAACAGATTTTAACAAAAATCTTGAAGAATCATATATTATGTACTTTGATGTAAATAATTTATACGGTGCAGGAATGAGTGAATTTCTACCGCTTTCAGATTTTCAATGGGAAACAAATTTAATAAACTTTGATGTATCTGAAATTGCGGATGATGCTGCTTATGGTTATATTTTAGAAGTAGACCTAGATTACCCGGAAAATTTGCATGATTTACACAAAGATTTGCTTTTATGTCCAGAACATTTTGTGCCTCCAAATACTGACATCAAATTACCAAAATTGATAACTAATTTATATCCTAAAGAAAAATATGTTATCCATTACAAAAATCTTAAATATTATATACGATTAGGAATGAAATTAAAAAAAATTCATAAAATATTAAAATTTAAGCAATCACAATGGTTGAGACAGTATATTGATTTGAATACAGAATTGAGAAAGAAATCTACTAATGTATTTGAAAAAAAATTTTATAAGTTAATGAATAACTCAGTTTTTGGAAAAACAATGGAAAATGTAAGAAAACATAAAGATGTTAAAATAGTTACAAAATGGGAGGGTAGATATGGAGCTAAAGCACTTATTGGTAAACCAAATTTTCATAGCTGCAATATATTTGATAAAAACTTGGTTATTATAGAGCTCAATAAACTACACGTTAATTTTAATAAACCAATCTATGTTG